CAACTATATCAAAGGGTAAAGCATGGATTGATTGATTTGGGATGGCCTGTGAATATAATTAAGCTTAGAACTAAATTTTAGAATGTTTTGTTTAGTCTGTCTAGGACTTATTCAATTTTAAGATGCCAAAATTGAAACGTCAGTACACTAACGTGTTTCGTATTTTTCTGATTAGGTTTGTCTTCTAAACGGTCAAGTCTCATGGTATGGTTTTGGACGTTGGGCTTAGTGCTGGTCCAAATGTTAAAAGACTCATTTCAGGCACACAAGCCATGCCATGGACGTTGTTGTTTCTATCAAATTTGGGCTCATTCGAGTTTAAGCCTGAACGTGTTTGTACATGGATCTGTTTTACCATTTGTTTTCATTTCATTTCATCAAATGCAGTTTTCGCTTATTTAGGCCTTGGTGTAAGAGTTTTTGTTAGTCAATGCGGTTCCTCTATTAATTTCCACATCGTTGCAAACGATCAATTAGAGTCCCTTCATGTCTTTTTAATTAACTAGGTTGTCCTAACATGAATTGAGGTGAGTCATGTTAGATGAGTTATAATTTATGGCCCTCACGAGTTAACTTAGAAACCTTGTAGTTAGAATAAATCGAGGTGTGTCATGCCAAACAAAATCTCAATTGCCCGGCCCTCATTTAAATCGGTATGTTTGTTCTTTAGAAATCGAGGCGCGCCATTTAGCAAATTTCCATGACCCTCGCAAATAAAAAAAATGCGTAGTTGCTTTAGGCGCGTTATTTTAATAATTTACCATCCTAAACTCGGATGTGCATTTCATGTAACCCAAATCTAAATCAATAATTTGTTTCATTTATTATTCTACTACTTTTTTTTGTGGTTAAAACTATTCTACTACTTTTGTATAATGCAAGAATAAGACTATCTTTGGAAGGTCTCTTTTGCAAAAAGTTAAGTTCATATTATAACTGTTCGACTCAAAAGATATTAAAACCTTTTTGAATAAATCAATCAAAGATGAAGGGGTAAATCTTAGCTAAACATAATTAATTCCAGATCGAAAAGTTAACAACAATGATTGCATGTATGATGAAAGAGATATGATTGATCTTATCAAGATTCGACATTCTCTTTCTCATCAATCGATGAAGAAGTAGATTTACATCTTTTCTTCGAGGTTATTTCCCCTTTTTCTAGAATACAAGAAGGGAGCATTTTATCTTCCTTTTTAGGAATCAGAGAAGCCCCCCAGTTGAGAGCTTTCCCTAGCTATATATAGTCAGAGTATCCTCGCCCTTTGCTTGACTCGACATCTTCTTGCCACTGATGTATCTTGGTCATGCTTTTAGACGTCACTCTTACCAATTCATCGGATGTCATAGAGGAGAAATGGAGCGGGCTCTGTTGACCTTCACTGCCCAGTTATTGAGACGGGGTGTCGGTTGACTTGGTCGTGATGGTCAGATTTTGACCAATATAGTTAGTCCCTCCGTCTGTCGAGGTCGTCCTATGTCGGACTCGATAGATGGATCGTGTTCGTTATGACTACAAGAGAACTCTGACCTGCGACTTTCCGTTCCTTAGTCACATTTCGTGGGTTTTTAACAGAGTGGCGGCGTTCTTTCGATCCTCATGGACCGTTGCGGAGGTTTTAGAACCAAAATGTTGTTTGGTATTAAAGCATTGGTTCGTGGTTATTACCATTATGACACACGTTTCTGGGGAACTAAAACGTTTTGTGCCCTATCAGATTCGATAGGTGACTCTTGGATTTCGTGCTCAGGGGATTTATATCTCTTATAAATAGGTGGAGTTTATCATTCAACTGACACACTTCTTCATCTTTTGCTCAGGAGAGTTCTGCAGATATCTTTCTTTTTGATACCTCGAATTTCTGCTTACCCTCTTGTTCACTGAAATATTTCATCTCTCTTTTTTATTATTTTTTGGCGCATTTTTTGCTAAAAATGGCTGGTTATTCTTCTCACGACAATCTCCGTGCCGCTAATTCGATACCGGAAAGCTCGGCTCAGGCCGCCGGAGGGGCGGATGCGGCGGAGGATGAGGAGGTTCCTTCAGTGGTTGAAATCTTGCCTCGCCCCGAGAGAGAGGCGAATGACTTCAGTATTAGCGGCGGAGTAGAACCGGAGCCTGTCCCCTCCGTCATGAGGGAAAGGGGGATCGTAGAGTTGAAAGAAAGGTGGGGAATCCCCAATTACATCGATATGCGGCCGGTGGAGGGGGACGGCATAGTTCACTTCGACCGTCCCGGGTACTGCGTGTTCTACTCCTACCCCTTCATTGTAGGGTACACACTTCCTCTGCCCCTATTGGTGGTGGATTTTTGCCGTTTCTACAAAGTGTGCCCCGCCCAACTTTCGCCATATTTGTACAAGTTATTCCTTATGCTGCTCAAGTATGCGGAACTCGCCGGCCGTGAGGTCACTTTGGACCATATTCTCAGTATCTTTGCTCCTCAAATTATTCGTGGTTCGATGATTCACATACATCCTCGGGGGTCGAGGAGTCTGGTGGTAAAATGGACGACAGGACCAACCGTCATTTCTACGAGAATTACTTTTATATGCAGACTGAATATATTGTGGTGAACCCAACGAGATTCCATGAGAGATAGAACTTTGCACGTAAGTTTGTATTTTTAGTCAGTGAAATGTTCGACCGTTTTCTGTGGGTACTAAACTTTATCTCGTCTTTGCAGCTGAGAGATTGCCCCCTCTGCCTGTCGAAGGTATCCGTGAATGGGTGGAAGCCATACTTCCCCATACAGTGGGGATTTGCACATGGTTGACCTTTCATGAGAGGTTCGGACGCAGGCCTCTTACAGGTGAGATGACACCTTTTCCTACTGGTATTTCTCTTCTTTTTTTGTGCAGCCTCTTATGCACCGTTTTTCGTTGCCAGGGAGAGTGAGAAGAGCGAGGGATCCTCCATTAGCTTTTTGCCAGCCTGCCGCATCTGCTCACCCTATCGCAGTACTCATTGCTCGACTTTCATCGAGGGTTGCTTCAGTTGAGTCTGCGGCCTTGGTGACTACTGCAAGGGACGCTTCTCAGGATAAGGCCCCGACCGATGTCATTCACCCGACGGGTGAGTCACTGTCTACGGGAGAGGAGGAAGGGCCGTCAAAAAGATGGAGAGTAGAATTTGGAACGGCACCCCAATGGTAATTCATCTGGACGACTCTCCCCCGACGGGCTCTGGAGAAGGTGTTATTGCAGCTCCCCTCGTAGGGATGGAGCAGGCCGTCGAAATTGTCGGTGTCCATGATCGGAAATCAGAAACTCCTGCCGCCCTCTTGGCTTTATCAAAAATCCCTGCCTTTGTTGGTAGCCAACAACCTGCCGTGGCGGAGAATCTGACTTTTGGGGCTACCATCGTGACTTCAGACGCGCCCTCATCTTCTGCAGCGGGTCATGCTTCCTCTTCAGCAGCATAGAGGGGAAAGGCGTGGAGGTTAACGACTATGAATCTGAGTCAGACTTGGACCCCGACGATGTTAGGATGTTTGAGGAGGGTCTTACTCATTCGGTGGTTAATGTGGGGGGCTCGACCCGTATTCTTCAGATCCCTTCCGGCGTTAATCTTTTGGCGGAAGGGGAGGACCTGGTACCGCAATTCAGGTTGTTATGCTCCGAAGCTGAGAATGAGTCCCTTCGGTCTGTTCCCGATGCTGAGTTGATGGATGAGGTGGCCGTTATGGGCTTAAGGGTACATTACATTTTGTTTTCTCTTTATGCTTTCGCCCTTCTCGAAAGTACTAGTTTAATCCCGTTTTTACATTTTCCAGACATATATGGTGGAAGTGGAAAGCATTCGCAGAGCCAACATCCGGGCAAGGATTTTCTTGAAGATGCTGGAGAAATATCGTCTCTACCGTGATAGGTGTCGCGAGATGCATGAGCGGCTGATGACGAACCCACGTAATCGGGCTCTTGGTGAGGAGCTGGAGAGAAGGGACCAGGAACACTCGAGGAGCAACTTCGAATTAAGGACGAGGAGTTTGGGCTGGGTAGGGAAGTTGCAATGGAATGTGAGCATCTGCAGGGGAGGTTGAGGTCGATGCAGTCGGAGATGGACCAGAACTTGGTCAAGGTCAAGGCGATGAGCGTGGAGTGGATGAGAAAATTGATGGTGATTGAGAGCAAAGTTGCTGGGTTGGAGAGCATTGAGAGTGCCTAGTTCGAGGCTTTGGCGAGGGCGACTGCCCTGGAGAACACCATCTGCGTCCTCCAATCCGAACAGGAGTCGGAGAGAGCGACAACTACCCTCAGGGAGGCGAGGCTCGAGGAGCGCATCGGCGTGATTGATTAGGAGGCATCGGTTCTGGGAGATCGAGTCGCGGCTCTGGAGGCAGAAAATGAGCAATTATTGGTTCAGGTTGAGTCATCTTCCACTGCCGCTCCCCGCCAAATGCATGAGCTCTAGGTTTATGCTGAAGCCCAGTGGGATATATATAAGAATTTGTGAGAGGCGGGCACCGTGGCCGAAGCTGCATATGAAGAAGTGAGAGCGAAATGACAGGAGGCTCGCATCAATTGTGGGTATGACGCGGCGAAACACGAAGCTAATGGGGATGCAGATGATTGTAGACATGTGATTTTTGACCCTCCCCAAGATTTTTTATATTTTAGCATGTAAATATTTAATTTAGGCCTAATATCGTTATTTCAACTAATTTTGACTCTTTTACTTTATGTTATTACAAGAAAATGAAAATTACAAAAAAATAGTTTTATTAATGCTTTGTAGTCATTTTTAGTCTTGAAAAATACCAAAAATTGTTTTAATGGTCAGTCTTATTTTAATAGTTATTTTACTTAAGTAGGATTAATTAATAAATAAGATCGTATTTTTAGTCTCGTTCGCGGGGAAAAAATAAAATTTGGGTTCAAACAACCCATTTTTAAGCCAAAATTTCGGACCTATCCCATAATTCCTAGGCCCATACCCCTAACCTAAAAAACCCTATAAAACAAACGAAACCCTAGGACCTAAGAGAGACAATCTGCCGTTTCCCTTCTGCATCTACAGAGATAGATAAGAAAATTTTCCTACACTAAAAAGAAAACAGCGGAAGAACGAGACCCCTCCCTGACTATGCCGTCTCAATCCCTTATCAATTCCTAACAACACTCTACCATACTCTGCTACCCATATCCATTGCCCATGCTCGTTCTTTTTTTTAAAATCAAATCCACCCATTTACTCAATTTTCAAAATTTATCACTGTTGTATCAGTATTCGAGCAAATTAGACTAACTTATATATGTTTGATAATTCAAGGTTTGTTATTCAGTTATTAGATTGAATTCAAATAAAGAGATGGGAATAGCTGATAAGTAATTTAAAAATCTGATTGTCATGTCGATCTCTAGCTTCTTCTTCTGATTTCTGATTTGAAAAAAAAACCATGGAATTCAATCGAGTTTGAGTGAGCCGACTTCTGTCAACGGTTCCAATTTTTAAGTCCATATTTGGGTCTGAATTTCCCTATTGAGATGGAGCTGGTTTAAGTCAATGTTCCGTGTTTGATTCGCGTTTCTACTGATTTTTCAGGTTGATACTCGATTGTTGTTGTTGAATGCTGTTGCTCTTCATTTGGACAAAACTGTAAGCCCGAAGTTTCTCTAATCTGGAAGAAATTTTTGCCATTGAGGTCCGATTCTTCACTTTCCCGTTCACTTTGTTATATGTTCATCTTTATGTTGTTTTGGGAATATTACTCAGTGCTTGTCGTCCATGCTCTTGGTGCCCTTTTTTATATGTTTTGTTTTATCAGTTAGTACATGGATCTGTATTTGGTTTGAGCAAATCAATTAAGGAAGGTAGGTGAGGCATTATCTATTAGCTAAGTGATTAAACTCATTGGTTTTATTTTGGATCATTTGAATCAGATGCGGGGTAAAGGTATAAAGATTTAGTTCTAGCTTCTGTAATTCTTGTATTTTTCTATGTGTATGCGTGTTTGTCTGTGTTATGGCTAGATTAGACTAACATAGTCTCAAGTGTCCTTTGTTGATAAAATATGAAATTTCATTACTAAACACCAACTCACTAAGTGAAAAAGAATACAAGCTGCTATCTATACAACACATTAGTTTCTCCTTGCAGCGAAAGATACAAATGAAATAAAGAGATTGTCCTAACGATGTGCACCAAGTGCTTGCTTGTTTAACTTGTTAAAACTAGTCAACGTTTATTAATTGCTGAAATGATTTGGTAACTAGGGTGAAGGAGAATCTGTTGGGGTGGGCTAGGGTGAAAATAAAATTTGTTGGCTTTTGGGTTAAATTAGAAAATAATTTTGGACTCTAGTAACTTTAGTTGGCTAACGTTTTAATGTGCTTCTAGGCATGAACATATTTTTTTTTTAAAAAAACTAGTCACTTTACAATAATCTCCAACTTAGAAAGAATAAATCATGAACATCGTAGTATGCTTTAGACGCGTTTTAAATTTACCATCGTGATTGTGTACACGTTCGCGTGATATAATTACGATCCTAAAAAACATACCCGAAGTATGCATTTGTGCAACTTTGGCCAAAAATTGTTAATAATAAAGCGTCATTAATTGTGGACATGTTCGCGTGACATGAATTTTTGATGCGCCAAAACAAATGGGTACACGTACGCGTGACCCATTTCAAGATAATTTCTTAATTTAAAGAGGTAAATGCATATAGGTTCTAAAAACGAGTCATTAGACAATTTAATTAAGCCAAGTATGATCAAAGCGACCGTGCTAGAACCACGGAACTCGAGAATGCCTAACACCTTCTCCTAGGTTAACAGAATTCCTTACCTGGATTTCAGTGTTCCCAGACCGTAAATAAGAGTCAAACTTCCTCAATTCAGGATTCTAAACCGGTGACTTGGGACACCATTAACTATCCCAAGTGGCGACTCTGAATCTAATAATTAATCCCGTTTTGATTGTCACTTAAATTGAAAAAACTCCCTTATATACCCTTCCGGGGGTGGTAGAAAGGAGGTGTAACAGCTCTGACGACTCTGCTGGGGACAAGAACCCAGAACTTTTGGTTCAAGGTTCAAGAATTCGAGCTTTTTAATATGATTTTTACTTGGCTTTATTTATTGTTGATATTACTGTATTTGTGGACCTAATGTGCTAACTGCTGCTTATTTACCGCTTTGATATTATTTGAATTGTATATAACTGTCTTCTTATGCCACCCCTCTGAGTCTTCTGAAAATGGTGCACATATTCACATGACCCGCTTTTTCTGTAGAAGTTATTCCAAATAAGAACGGGGCTGGGCCAGCAACAAGGCCGGGTAGACTTCAGTGCTCCCGGTACGTTGCTCCCTCTTCGGCTCGAGTTGTCCGCTCGGGAAAGCCAGGTCTAGAACACAACCCCAGGATTTAAACCTAGAAAAACACAGCCTCATGCCGGATCCCTAGTAGGAACGTTTGTTTGCATCACGTGCATTTGACTTTGGGGACTCAACATAGGGGTTGGGTTCGTCTAGGACAGGTGTACCCAAAATAACAGACCATCTTGATGCATCCTATGTGCTACATGTTGCATTTCTTCAAGGATAAAATGGTCATTTGGCGGACCAATGATAGTTGAGGGCAAATGTAAAAGAAAAAAAAAGAAAAAAAGAGAGGGTGAAGTGTGAAAAATAAAGCAAGTAAGGCCAGTAAGGCCCAGTTATGTTTTCTTTCACATTTTTGTTAAGAAAAAGACAAAAGAAAACATGAAAAATTAAAAAAAAAAAGATTTTGCACTTTTTCATCATTTTCCGAAAATAAAAAAAGGAAATGAAAATCCAATAAGAGCTTACATGTTTCATCATTTTTCGAAAAAAAAAGAAGACAAAAAACATATTTTTTCTAAATTAGTTATTTTTTTAAATTCTCGCCCGTATCCAATCTACCCGAACTACGCGAACCTGATTCTCGTCTCTTGGGGCAGGATACGTAGGCAACCCACATATGGTCTGGTCTTCTTAGTGAGTCTTAGGTTCTTGGTTTCGTGGGGTTGTAGCCAAATCTTGCATATCTAGCCTCTTTTTGGCCACATCGGTCATTTTACAAAATAGGGCTATTTTTGCAAAGTGGTTTGTTTAATTGTGTCTGGAGTGTCTTGAATCCACAATTAGGTGTCTCTTTACTTTGAGGCCCATCCTAGTCGAATTTGCATGTCTAGCCGCTTTTGGCCACATCGGCCATTTTGCAAAATAGGGCTATTTTCGCAAAAGTGGTTAAATTAACAAGTCTTAGAGTCCTAGGTCCACAACAAGATATTCTCTCTGTTTAAGGTTCATTGTGTTGAATTTGCATGCTTAGCCATTTTTGTCCACATAAACTATTTCTATAAACTGGGTCATTTTTGCAAAGTAATTTTTCCATGTCTTAGAGGTCACTTTTGTCGAGTTTGCACTTCTAGCCGCCTTTTGGCCACATAAGACGTTTTGCAAAAATAGCCTCAATCATATCTTGCATGTGACCAGTAGGGAGTGATATTGTCTCACATAGTGTTGGTTTAAGTTTTCTCAAATAGGTGTGGATCTACTTACCGGAGTTTGAGCATGAAAGACACCCCGGGACCATTCAGTCAGGATCACTACGTTCAGGAGCTAGCTAAAGGAGATTTTTTTTTATCTTTTGAGTCTATTTTTATGTTGTCTTGCACTTTATAGTCATGTTCAGTAGTATTGATTCTGTTAGTTGGTGTCAGAGTTTGTCGTAGTATAGTAGAGTTTGTCAAGTTTTCCATGATCGTATTTCCTGTTTTATATTTGAAAATCGAAAAAGAGTTGTAAATGAAAAAAAAGGATTTTTGTTTTTTTTAGTTTAATTTATCCATTAGTTTTCCCGAACTTCGCAAAGATCTGATTCATGCGGCGTCATGATACGTAGGCAACCTACATAGGGTTTGATTGAATTATTTTTTTTATTAAAAGAAAAAGGAAAAAAGAAGAAAAAAAGAGGTGAAATTATGGGATGTGAGAAATGAGAGGAAAGAAAAGAGTGATAATTAGAAAAAAAGGAAGGAAAATGAGCAAGCCAAGAAGTGCTGGAAAAGAAAGAAAAGAGAAGATTAAAATGAACAAAATTGGGATGATGCCAAGTGACCTTGTGACCCTCGAATTCATTCATGAACCGTTAATTGTTGCTAGGTGCATTGCACACAATGTGATATTTGCAGCTATTAAATGTCCTAACGCTAACATGATGACCTCATTTTGATCCTTTGTTTATCTATATTGAGCAGAAGGGTGGTTGATTTGTGGTTCTTAAGATAACTCATCCATACAACACAAGGTTAAAGAACAAGGTAGTCATGACTGTAAAAAAGTTGGATACAAGAGTTGTTGACCCATCGAGGGAGTTTGTGGACTCGGAGTCTGAATTGAAAGGGGAGGTCCAAATGTTGAAACAATAGATGGTAGAAATGTATCAGTCTTGGGTCAGGGGGCATCATCCAAATTTATTCCCTGCTAACTACACTGAAAACCCTACAACTATCCCACCACTATCACAAATCCAGCTTCCCACTGCTGCTGATATCACCCCACAACCTTCTCACACTCTACTCGCCAAAAACACCACATATCCCGCTCCTTTGGCCACTCATGCTCTTGTAGCTCCTCCTCCAGCTATTTTTCCTCGATACTCTAACGAGACTGTGTTCAAAGTTCCCGATGCCCAACACTATGCTCCAGAACCAACTTTTAAAGACTCGGATCCATACTCTCACGCTTCTCATTTTGAGTCTCCCGGTGAGACTGCAGAGCCTGCTAAGATAGTAGAGCAAGATGAGATATCCAGAAAGCTTAAAGGGTTTAAGATGCAAAAGTTTCATTTGTATGATGGGCGTGGAGATCTAGTAGCCCATCTAAAGGGTTATTGCAGTAGAATAAGAAGTGTTGGCGGGAAAGATGAGTTGCTGATGACATATTTCAATGAGAGCCTGACTGGGGCAACTTTGGAATGGCGTACTCGTCAAGATGTCGGTAAGTGGCATACATGGGATGACATGGCTCAAGATTTTGGGTGACACTTTCAGTACAATATAGACATTGTCCCAGACCGCTCCTCCCTATCCTAGATGGAAAAGAAACCCAAGGAAAGTTTTAGGGAATTTTGGTTCAGATGGAACGAACAAGTTGCTCGGGGCAGTCCACCCATTGATAGAAAAATGTTGCTGAGCCCAGTAAATGACAGGATCCAGTGGGCATTCCTGCTAAATGTTTTCAGCCTTAATACCGACCCCATGAACATCCCCAAACTCCATATAATCTGCCACAGTATTATCCTCCGAACAACGTCCGACCATCTGTCCAACCACTGGGTCACTCCAAAAGGCGAGTATGAGCATTGCAGAAGCTTCACCAGCCTCCACAAAATTTTCAAGTGCCCTATAACCCATATTCAAGCCAAGGGTGTAGAAGGGAACAAAGGTTGGAAGATAATTTTACACCAATAGGAGGGTCCTATGCAAGTTTGTTTGAGAGAATAAAGCATTACAGCATGATTGCACCTATTCCTCTAAATTATATAGACCCACGTGCGAGAAGCTTTGACCCTGCTAAAAGGTGTGAATACCATTCCAATGCCCAAGGACATAATATTGAAGATTGTCGTGCTTTGAAAAGGGAAATAGAAAGAATGATTCAAGAAGGAATAATTGTGGTCCAAGGCAGTAATACCCCAAGTGTCACACATAATCCTCTATAGGTACATGACAGCGCACAGATTGTTGGGATGGTTTGCAATGACGAAGGTTTGGTCAAAGGAGCCAATGAGCCACTTGGTGAAGTTAATGATATTGAAATTGGTAGTGGTCTTAGTAATATTGATGTGAAACTCAGTGGCTAAGATGCCAGGCTTGGTAATTGGAAAGACGCTCCTTTCTTGGCTACCTAGGAAGGAGTCTTGGTGGTTCATTTTGTTGTCATTTCTGTTGTCCGGGTTATTTCAAGGTTGTAATCCGGATATATCTTGTGACTCAAACCCTTTTATCCTTTTATTTTGCCTAGTTCCTTTAGTCGTAGTAACTCATTTAGTGTTATCTAGGTTTGTTCCAGGGTTGTATCCCAGTTATTTTGCTTGTCTTGTTGTTCAAACCCTTTCACCGTCTGTCTAATACAATTTTTTGTTTTCAATTATTTCTAGTCATTTTTGTTTAGTCTCTTTTCCTTTTATAGTTTTTTTCATGCTAGCTCTAGTGACATGACATGCCCGCATAATTCTAGGCCTGGTCTTAAAAGTTAGTTTAATCATGAAACAATGAAATAATTTTTAAGATGATAGGGACACTTGAGGGCAATAAGTATAGATTTGGACATTTTGAGATCATTTGAAGCCCGAACTGTGTTAAAATGGGGCAGATAATTTTGAAAGTTAACAGGATCACAAGAATTCGTTAAAGGAGAGTGCATCCCAGACTATTTGAAGCGAGAAGTTTTGAGTTCAAGTGTACCTCAAGTAACAAGATAAAGTCAAGGGAGTTTGCTCCAAACAGACAGAGGGTATCCATCGTGAAGAAGAAATCACCCAATGAGAGTTCTGTACTTGACAAGGCACTAAAAAAATGGAAAGCATATTAGTGATATCAATGCCGAAGTTGTAAAAGAAATGTTGTGTGTGCTGTTCCTTTTTCATTTCAAGTTGCATGTGTTGTACATTGCATTTACAGGGATTGCGAGGCCCTCTATTAGCTACCTAAACACTTATACCATTCGAATACTCTTTTGAGCCTGTACTTATTTTTTTTGACTTCCCCTCTTTTGGAATCAAGTTAGAGTCATACGAAAAAAAAAAAAAAATTCATGTCCCCATAGGTTTATTTTAGAAAGTTCATTCCAAAAGGAAAATTCAAAAAAAAGAGAGAAAAATAGAGATAAATAAAAAAAGAGAAAAAGAAAAAAAAGAAAAAAAAGGAAAAAGAAAAGAAAAGAGAAAGAAAAAAGAAAAAGGAAAATAGTAACAAAAAGTAGTCTTGTGAACTACGTTTGACCTGATTCTTGTCACCACAAGATATGTAGGCAGCCTTACGGTTCGGTCGCACCAAATAAAATATTTCATAATCCCATGAAGTTAAGAGTGGGGTGATTTTTCTTAGAATCAAATTCTCTTGTTTTAGAAATTGGGGCAAAGTTTTGAAATGGATTCCAAAAGTTGTAAATGAAGTAATCCCGTTGTCTTAGTTATTTTGAGCCTTTATCCGTTCTTTCTAACCCTGTCCAAAAGCCACATTACAGTCCAAAAAAGACCTCCCAAATAATCTTTGAGAGTGGAGTTTAGACATGCCAAGAGTATATGATGTTTGTACCATAGGTAATACCTTGTCATCTGCAGAATAAGAGGAAATAAGAAGAAAAGAACAAAATGAGAGAGTCTTATTGGTGAAAACCTTCACAGGCACCATACGACGATGGTGAGTTGAGAAAAAAGAATAAAATGAGAGAGGCTTGATGGTCTAAACCCTTAGGGCACTACAATTCGAACAAGGATCGCGAATCAGATTAGATAATCGGAGCGTTGAAGCCCAGTTTCATGGTTTAGGGGTATAACAAGAGTTAAACATTAGACTTGCTTGATAGATTAGGCCAAATGTGCATGTCATGGTCGTTAGAGTTTGGTATCCTCATCTGATAAGTTTCTACTTTGTAGTTTTCTTGTTAGGAATCATCTCTTTCCATTGTCCTTTACTCTGTTCCTTTTGTCTTGTTTACTTCCTCTTCCTGAGTCTTTTGGGTCAGAACAAGTGAGAAATGACTTCAAAATTTGCCACTAGTGGTCCAATTGCATAAAACGGGATCTAACTAGCACATAAACGTGGTTTAAGTCAAGAAATAATAGTATGCGCACTGAGTGGGTGGCAATCGACGTGCTTTGGGATTCATGTAAAACACAAAGGTCAGTATATGTCAATTCATGAGCAATGCAACAGATAGAGGGTGTTGGGTAAACGGATCAAAGGTATTTTCTGTGATAAGGTTGACAGAAAAATTGGTTAACCAATAACAAGCAAGGTCTTCCAAGTGGAAATCAAAGTTATCATGGCAAGTGAAGGAGTAATAGACCTCAAGGCCAAGGCTAGTAGTTTAATTCAGGAAGGAACAATATGCGCACTGAGTGGGTGACAATTGACGTGCTTTGGGATTCATGTGCAACACAAAGTTCAGTATATATCAGTGTATGAGCACAATGCAATAGATGAATGGTATTGGGTTTGAACGGATCAGAGGTATTTTCCGTGATAAGGGTGACAGAGAAAGTGGTCAGTCAATAAACAGGCAAGGTCTTTCGAGCTGAAATCGCAGTTGTCATGGAAAGTGAAGGAGCAATCGCCCTCAAAGTCAAAAAAACAAACCAACCACCATGTTCAAACTCACAAGTTTTCTTTGATTGAAACATGGGCAGGAAGTTTCATTGGTTCCGGAGAAACCCTCCGCGAGGAAAGCAGGTGCAGACAGGCTCGGCAGTAAGTTTTCAGTACCCTCCTGGATAACGAAATTTAGTAAGTTTTGAGACTTTCACAAGTGACAAGGTCTGACGAGAGTTTTACTTTTGGGAAGTATAATTTAGCATTTATGTTTTTCACTTTTGAGATTAGACTTGAGTTGAAATTTTTCAGGATAAGGGAATTTAGCTTAGAACTTATTTGGATAACAAGAGTCGGTTAACGCTCACAGATGTTCCCAAAATCAAACTAGGGCTAAAAATTTCTTTTGTTTTGTCTGTTTTGTTGTAATCACGCACCCACCTGGAGAACAAGGGAAGACAGTTCAAGTTTCTAGAGAAAGCAGTTTCAAAGGAAAGCGGTTCGAGTTTCAGCAATCAGACGCCCACCTGGAGAGCAAGGGAAAATGGTGCAAGTTTCGAGGAAAAACAGTTCCAAATAGCAAGAAAAGATGGTTTGAGCGTCTGCAATCAGACGCCCACCTAGCAAACAAGGGAAAACAATTCAAGTTTCAGAGGAAAGGAATACAATTCAAATGCTGGTAATCAGGCACCCACCTGGAGAACAAAGGGAAAGGAGCAATGTTCAAAGGAAGGCAGTTCAAGTTCAGCAATCAGGCGTCCACCTGGAGAACAAGGGAAAGCAAGTCAAATTTCAAAGAAAAGTAGTGCAAGTGTAAGAAATTAGGCACCCACCTGGAGAACAATGAGAAAACAGGTCAAGTTTCCAGGAAAAGCAGTTAAAGTTTTGGCAATCAGGCGTCCACCTGGAGAGAAAGGGAATACAGTTAAAGTTTTGGCAATCAGGCACCCACCTGGAGAGCAAATGATTACAGTCAAAGTTTTGGCAATCAGGTGCCCACCTAGAGGACAAGGGAATATAGTTTAAGTTTTGGCAATCAGGCGCCCACCTGGAGAGCAAGGGAATACAGTTAACTTTTGGCAATCAGGCGCCCACCTAGAGGACAAGGCAGTACAATTCAAGTTTTGGCAATTAGGAGCCCACTTGGAGTTCAAGGGAATACAATTAAAGTTTTGGCAATCAGGCGCCCACCTAGAGGACAAGGCAGTACAATTCAAGTTTTGGCAATTAGGAGCCCACTTGGAGTTCAAGGGAATACAATTAAAGTTTTGGCAATCAGGCGCCTACCTGGAGAGCAAGGGAATAAAGTCAATGTTTTGGCAATCAGGCGCCCACCTGGAGAGCAAGGGAATACAGTTAAAGTTTTGGCAATCAGGCGCCCATCTGGAGAGTAAGGGAATACAATTAAAGTTTTGGCAATCAGGCGCCCACCTGGAGAGCAAGGGAATACCGTTAATATTTTGGCAATCAGGCGCCCACCTGGAGAGCAAGAGAATACAGTTAAAGTTTTGGCAATCAGGCGCCCACCTGGAGAGCAAGAGAATACAGTTAAAGTTTTGGCAATCAGGCGCCTACCTGTATAGCAAGGGAATACAGTTAAAGTTTTAGTAATCAGGTGCCCACCTGGAGAGCAAGGGAATACAATTCAAGTTTTGGCAATCAGGTGCCCACCTGGAGAGCAAGGGAATACAGTTTAAGTTTTGGCAATCAGGCGCCCACTTGGAGAGCAAGGGAATACAGTTAAAATTTTGGCAATCAGGCGCCCACCTCGAGAGCAAAGGAATATAGTTGAAGTTTCGGTAATCAGGCGCCCACCTGGAGAGCAAGGGAATACAGTTCAAGTTTTGGCAATCAGGCACCCACCTAGAGAACAAGAAAAGCAGTACGAGTTTCAAAGGAAGACAACACAGGTTTCAAGGGAAAACAGTTTAAGGTAACAAAGGGAATACAATTCAAGTTTTAGTAATCAGGCGCCCGCCTGGAGAACAAGGGAATACAGTTCAAATGTTGGCAATCAGGCGCCACCTGGAGAATAAGGGAATTCACTTCAGAATGCAATTCAAGTCAGCAACAGAAGAAGCTCGCGGCAAGAATGCGGGTCAATAGTCCGAGATGACCAACAAAAGTACTCTCAATCCAGAATAAAAAAGAGGGGAAAAAGAAAAAAAAGAAGTTAATCCAAAATACAGAAGCAGAGAAAGATGTGAACTGTTCAAGACATGACTGAAGTCACAAGCATGGTGTGTCCGGTTTTGATCCGAAAAGCTGAAGAAGAATGAACTAGCACCTACAACTAGCAAGCGCCAAGGTTCAAATCTAGAGTCTGCATGAAGAGCCATTCAAGACTCAAGATCAAGCTTCGGAAGACTTATAGATAGGAATCTTGTAACTCATAGTTGACAGGCTTATCTAGTCTTTTTCATTTTTTGATTTTTATGTAATAACAGGACCGCAGACCGGAACCTCGACGGAACGGCACCTCTACCGGCTCTCCACCTCGGTATACTCCATCATCTCACTCACTTCTGAACTACACGTGACCTAATTACTTTATAGCCAAGGATATGTAGGCAGCTCAGATACCAGAGCTCGGTCACATTCTCCTTCCTCTTAGTTTTTGGTCTCCTTAAATAAGGATCGAGTCAAAAAACTTGTTTAGTCGTTCTATATCTGAAAACTCTTCGCGTTTTCAGTCAAAGAGGGGCAGCTGTAGACATGTGATTTTTGACCCTCCCCAAGATTTTTTATATTTTAGTATGTAAATATTTAATTTAGGTCTAATATCGCTATTTCAACTAATTTTGACTCTTTTACTTTATTTTATTACAAGAAAATAAAAATTACAAAAAATAGTTTCAATAATATTTTGTAGTCATTTTTAATCTTAAAAAATACAAAAAATAGTTTTGTTTTAATGGTCAGTCTTATTTTAATAGTTATTTTACTTAAGTAGGATTAATTAATAAATGAGATCGTATTTTTAGTCTTGTTCACGGGGAAAGAATAAAATTTGGGTTCAAACAACCTATTTTTAAGCCTAATTTTCGGAACTAGTCCATAATTTCCAAGCCCATAATTCCTAGGCTCATACCCCCTAACCTAAAAACCCATATAAAACAAATGAGACCTAGGGCCTAAGAGAGACAATCCGCCGTTTCCCTTCTGCATCTACATAAAAATTTCCTACACTAAAAAGAAAGCAGCGGAAGAACGAGACCCCTCCCTGACTCTGCCGTCTCAATCCCTTATCAATTCCTAATAGCGCTCTACCACACCCCGCTACCCATATCCATCGCCCATGCTCGTTCCTTTTTCCAAAATCAAATCCACCCATTTACTCAATTCTCAAAATTTAGCACTGTTGTATCAGTATTCGAGAAAATTAGATCAACTTATATATTTTTGATAATTCAAGGTTTGTTATTCAATTATTAGATTGAATGCAAATAAAGAGATGGGAATAACTGATAAGTAATTTAAAAATCTGATTATCATGTCGATCTCTAGCTTCTTCTTCTGATTTCTAATTTGAAAAAAAAACCATGGAATTCAATCGAGTTTGAATGCTGTTGCTCTTCATTTGGACAAAACTGTAACCCGAAGTTTCTCTAATCTGGAAGAAATTTTTCGCCATTGAGGTCTAATTCTTCACTTCCCTGTTCACTTTGTTCTATGTTTATATTTATGTTGTTTTGGGAATATGACTCAGTGCTTGTCGTCCATGCTCTTGGTGCCCTTTTTTATATGTTTTGTTTTATCAGTTAGTACATGAATCTGTCTTTGGTTTGAGAAAATAAATTAAGGAAGGTAAGTGAGGCATTATCTATTAGCTAAGTAATTAAACTCATAGGTTTTATTTTGGATCATTTGAATCGGATGCGGGGTAAAGGTATAAAGATTTAGTTCTAGCTTCTATAATTCTTATATTTCTCTATGTGTATGTGTGTTTGTCTGTGTTATGGCTATATTAGACTAACATAATCTCAAGTGTCCTTTGTTGATAAAATATGAAATTTCATTACTAAACACCAATTCCCTAAGTGAAAAAGAGTACAAGTTGCTATCTATACAACACAGTAGTTTCTCCTTGCTGCAAAAGATACAAATGAAATAAAGAGATTGTTCTAACGATGTGCACCAAATGCTTGCTTGTTTGACTTGTTAAAACTATTCAACGTTTATTAATTGCTGAAATGATTTGGTAACTAGGGTGAAAGAGTATCTATTGGGGTGGGCTAAGGTGAAAAAAGAATCTGTTGGCTTTTGGGTTAAATTAGAAAATAATTTTGGACTCTAGTAACTTTAGTTGGCTAATGTTTTTATGTGCTTCTAGGCATGAACATATTTTTTTTTTTAAAAAACTAGTCCCTTTACAATAATCTCCAACTTAGAAAGAATAAATCATGAACATCGTAGTATGCTTTAGACGCGTTTTAAATTTATCATCGTGATTGTGTACACGTTCGCGTGACATAATTACGATCCTAAAAAACAAACCCGAAATATGTGTTCGCGCAACTTTGGCCAAAATTTCTTAATAATAAAGCGTCATTAATTATGGACACATTCACGTGACATGATTTTTTGAAGCGCCAAAACAAATGGGTACATGTACGCGTGACCCGTTTCAAGATAATTTCTTAATTAAAAGAGGTAAATGCACATAGGCTCTAAAACTGAGTAATTAGACAATTTGATTAAGCCAAGTATGATCAAAGCGACCGTGCTAGAACCACAGAACTCTGGGATGCCTAACACCTTCCCCCGGGTTAACAGAATTTCTTACCCGAATTTCTCTGTTCGCAGACCATAAATAAAAGTCAAATTTCCTCGATTTGGGATTCTAAACCGGTGACTTAGGATACCATTAACTATCCCAAGTGGCGATTCTGAATCTAATAATTAATCCCGTTTCGATTGTTACTTAAATTGAAAAAACTCCCTTATATACCCTTCCGGGGGTGGTAGAAAGGAGGTGTGACAATGATGGCAACGGACAACCTCTTGGAGACGGTGATGATGGAGATGGTACTGGTGACAGCGGCGATGACGCCGAATGAAGAATATTGTCCTTCGTTTTTATTTTCAATTGTTTGTCAATTGTCGTTCGTTCGTGTTGTTGTTTTTTTTGGGTTGGCTTGGGCCATATGTAAGCGGCAATAGCCCGCACTGTGACTTCGTATAAATGAGAGTTCTTTTCTTCGCTATTTGTATTGTACTTCACTTTTATTTCAACTGTTTGTGGCTTTGGTACAAGATAGATGCCAGTATGGCGAGTCTCGATTTTTCTTTCCTTTCGGTGGTTCTCGGCCTTAACGGGTGTTGTTTCGAACTCATCAAAATGACGGCCCGTTATCGTTCGATCGAGGTCGAACCCTTCTCTTTTTTGGCGAAGGCCCTTGGCCTTAATGGGCATTATTTTGAACTAATAGAAATAACAGCCCGTAGTCGTTCGATCGAGGTCGAACCCTTCTCTTTTTTAGCGAAGGCCCTTGGACCTAAAGGGTGTTATCTCGATCTTATCAAAATAATAGCCCGTCATCATTTGATCGAGGTCGAACTCTTCTCTTTTTTAGCGAAGGCCCTTATCCTTAAAGGGCGTTATTTCGAACTGATCAAAATAACAGCCCATAGTCGTTCGATCGAGGTCGGACCCTTCTCTTTTTTGGCGAAGGCCCTTGGCCTTAAAGGGTGTTATTTTGAACTTATCAAAATAACAGTCCGTCGTCGTTCGATCGAGGTCAAAACCTTCTCTTTGTTGGCGATGGCCCTAGGCCTTAAAGGGTGTTATTTCGAACTTATCGAAATAACAGTTCGTCATCGTTCGATCGAGGTCGAACCCTTCTTTTTTTTTTTTTTGGCGAAGGCCCTTGGCCTTAAAGGGTGTTATTTAGAACTTATCGAAATAACAGCCTGTCGTCGTTCAATCGAGGTCAAACCCTTCTCTTTGTTGGCGAAGGCCCTTGGACCTAAAAGGTGTTATCTCGAACTTATCGAAATAACAACTCGTCGTCGTTCGATTGAGGTCGAACTCTTCTCTTTTTTGGCGAAAACCCTTGGCCTTAAAGGGTGTTATTTCGAACTAATCGAAATAACAAACCATAGTCATTCGATCGAGATTGAACCCTTCTCTTTTTTGGCAAAAGCCCTTGGCCTTAAAGGGTGTTATCTCGAACTTTTCGAAATAACAGCCCGTAGTTATTCGATCGAGGTTGAACCCTTCTCTTTATTGGCGAAGGCCTTGGACTTAAAGGGTGTTATTTCGAATGGATAGAAATAATAGCCCGTAGTCGTTCGATCGAGGTTGAACCTTTCTCTTTTTTGGCGAAGGCCCTTGGCCATTAAGGGTGTTATTTCGAACTTATCAAAATAACAGCCCGTCGTCGTTCAATCAAGGTCGAACCCTTCTCTTTTTTGGCGAAGACCCTTGGACCTAAAGGGTGTTATCTCGAACTGATCGAAATAACAGCCCATCATCGTTCGATCGAGGTCGAACTCTTCTCTTTTTTGGCGAAGGCCCTTGGCCTTAAAGGGTGTTATTTCGAACTGATCGAAATAATAGCCCGTAGTCGTTCGATCGAGGTCAGACTCTTCTCTTTTTTGGCGAAGGCCCTTGGCCTTAAAGGGAGTTATTTTGAACTTATCGAAATAACAGTCTATCATCGTTCGATCGAGGTCGAACCCTTCTCTTTGTTGGCGAAGGCCCTTGGCCTTAAAGGGTGTTATTTCGAACTTATCAAAATAACAGCCCGTCGTCGTTCGATCGAGGTCAAAACCTTCTCTTTTTTTGGCGAAGGCCCTTGTCCTTAAAGGGTGTTATCTTGAACTTATCGAAATAACAGCCTGTAGTCGTTCGATCGAAGTTGAACCATTCTCTTTATTGGCGAAGGCCCTTGGACATAAAGGGTGGTATTTCGAACTGATCAAAATAACAGCCCGTAGTCGTTCAACCGAGGTCGAACCCTTCTCTTTTTTGGCGAAGGCCCTTGGCCATTAAGGGTGTTAGTTTGAACTTATCAAAATAACAGCCCATCGTCGTTCGATCATGGTCGAACCCTTCTCTTTTTTGGTGAAGGCCCTTAGACCTAAAGGGTGTTATCTCGAACTTATCGAAATAACAACCCATCGTCGTTCGATTGAGGTCGAACTCTTCTCTTTTTTGGCGAAGGCCCTTGGCCTTAAATGGTGTTATTTCGAGCTGATCGAAATAACAGCCCGTAGTCGTTCGATCGAGGTCAGACCCTTCTCTTTTTTGACGAAGGCCCTTGGCCATAAAGGGTGTTATTTTGAACTTATCGAAATAACAGTCCATCGTCGTTCGATCAAGGTCGAACCCTTCTCTTTGTTGGCGAAGGCCCTTGGCCTTAAAGGGTGTTATTTCGAATTTATCGAAATAATAGCCCGTCATCGTTCGATCGAGGTCGAACCCTTCTCTTTTTTTGGCGAAGGCCCTTGGCCTTAAAGGGTTTTATTTCGAACTTATCGAAATAACAGCCCGTCGTCATTCGATCGAGGTCGAACCCTTCTATTTGTTGGCGAAGGCCCTTATCCTTAAAGGGTGTTATCTCAAACTTATCAAAATAACAGCCCATCGTCGTTTGATCTAGGTCGAACCCTTCTCTTTTTTGGCGAAGGCCCTTGGCCTTAAAGGGTGTTATTTCGAACTGATCGAAATAATAACCCGTAGTCATTCGATCAAGGTCGAACCCTTCTTTTTGTTGGCGAAGGCCCTTGGACTTAAAGGGTGTTATTTCGAACTGATCGAAATAATAGCCCATAGTCGTTCGATCGAGGTCAAACCCTTCTCTTTTTTGGCAAAGGTCCTTGGCCTTTAAGGGTGTTATTTCGAACTTATCGAAATAACATCCTATCGTCGTTCGATCGAGGTCGAACCCTTCCCTTTTTTGGCGAAGGCCCTTGGCCCTAAAGGGTGTTATCTCGAACTTATCAAAATAACTGCCCGTTGTCGTTCGATCAAAGTCGAACCCTTCTCTTTTTTTGCGAATGCCCTTGGCCTTAATGGGCGTTATTTCGAACTAATCGAAATAACATCCCGTAGTCGTTCGATCGAGGTCGAACTCTTTTCTTTTAGCGAAGGCCTTTGGCCTTAAAGGGTGTTATTTCGAACTTATCGAAATATCAGCTCGTCGTCGTTCGATCGAGGTCGAACCCTTCTCTTTGTTGGCGAAGGCCCTTGGCCTTAAAGGGTGTTATATTGAACTTATCGAAATAACAACCCATCGTTGTTCTATCGAGGTCAAACCCTTCTCTTTTTTGGCGAAGGCCCTTGGCCTTAAAGGGTGTTATTTCGAACTTATATAAATAATAGCCCATTATCGTTCGATTAAGGTCGAACCCTTATCTTTGTTGGTGAAGGCCCTTGGCCTTAAAGGGTGTTATTTCAAACTTATCGAAATAACAACCCATCATCATTCGATCGAGGTCGAACCCTTCTCTTTGTTTGCAAAGTCCCTTGGCCTTAAAGGGTGTTATTTCAAACTTATCGAAATAACAGCCCATCGTCGTTCGATCGAGGACGAACCCTTCTCTTTGTTGGCGAAGGCCCTTGGCCTTAAGGGTTGTTATTTCAAACTGATCGAAATAACAACCCGTAGTCAGTCCCAGTTTCTAGGGAGTTAGATATCTTCCGTGAGAGGCCCAATTTGTTTCGTATTGCTTGCACCAGATGGTGCAACACTGGTGAATACGAGGTGTTGATGTTTCGCTTAAGTTCGTGCTGTACACGCATTATAGTTTTCTTGTCTGACTCCTACCGTCCAGCTCATAGACGTTACCGGCAGGAGGTATTCCAGCTGTGTTGGAGCAATTTTTGTCCCTCAATCGAGATGTTCCTTTGTATGTTCACCCACGTGGGTCTTATGTGCTTGCTTGGACAAAGAGTGGGGAGGGGGTGAGTATGAGCTTTTCTTCGCTCCCGCCCAGGGGTCCGGTAGGGGAGAACAGGCTGGTAACCCCGTTTGCCTTATTTAGTATATCTGTAGTTGATGAGGGGGAGATTTCTAGGCTTGGTAATCCTACTCGGCTCTCCTTTCTTTACTGTGCTGCTCCCATGTCTCGCGTGGGTTGGATTCTCCCTTCGTGCTTCTTTTGGTAGGTGATTGTGTTTCTTGGCTTTGATCTAAGAGAAACTAATAATTTCCACCAAGAATTCCCCACAGACGGCACCAAATTGTTCGACTCAAAAGATATTAAAACCTTTTTGAACAAATCAATCAAAGATGTAGGGGTAAATCTTAGCTAAACATAATTAATTCCAGATCGAAAAGCTAACAAAAATGATTGCATGTGTGATAAAAGAGATATGATTGATCTTATCAAGATTCAACATTGTCTTTCTCATCAATCGATGAAGAAGTAGATTTACATCTTTTCTTCGAGGATATTTACCCTTTTTCTAGAATACAAGAAGGGAGCTTTTTATCTTCCTTTTTAGGAATCGGAGAAGCCCCCCGGTTGAGAGCTTTCCCTAGCTATATATAGTCAGAGTATTCTGGCCCTTTACTTGACTCGACATCTTCTTGCCACTGATGTGTCTTGGTCATGCTTTTAGGCGTCACTCTTACGATTCGTCGGATGTCATAGAGGAGAAATGGAGCGGGTTCTGTTGACCTTCACTGCCCAGTTACTGAGACGGGGTGTCGGTTGACTTGGTCGTGATGGTCAGATTTTGACCAAAACAATAACGAATTACGATAATTAGTCTTTATATTCGTGCATAGCATAAATATCTTACATCAAATATCACAAAATGTGTACTATTAATGTTTGGTTATAATTCTATATTTTTACTTACCTTACATTTGAGGCTTTAATGATAATTTGTATGTCGTTTGAGCTTAATAAAGTTAGTTTTATGTGTACAAACATTTGAACGTGGAGTGGAAGGAAAATTGAATAAAATGACGTTGAAGACATGAAAGTAAAACCACAAAAAGATAATCGGTGCAAAGCACTGTACATACGGCACCCCACTTTACCCAAGGCGCCACACATGCCGCGCCAGATGACGCCTTGCGAAGGAAATACGGCGCCTCAGAGGGCACCCCTAACCTATGAATACCCCCTCCCTCACCCCTCCCCCCCCAACAAAACTTATTTAAGAGGGGGCTGGACGTTTTTGAAGGCAAGACGGAACACGCTCGTAGCGCGGATCAGAATATCTTCCATCCTTAATCTATTATTTTTAGTTTTACGATTTAATAATACATGGATTATTCATATGATTATGAGTGACTAAAAACTTTTTTGTTCTGGGTTATGGGTAGTTGTTGATTATTGATATTTGACGGTTATTTATATTGCTTGAGTATATTAAATTGATTTGTTTAGTCAATATTATTCTTAATTATTTTACTGCGTAACTAATAGTAGAATATTATATATGAATTTGTAGTTGAACTCGAAAGTGAAAACTATAAATTACATATAAGATTGGATAGAATAATATCTTGAATATGGGCATTAGAGAATAGATTCGCGATTAGGATAGACATATGCTAATTGCCTTACTTGGTTATTACTGTAAGAATTATATATGCATTCTAGTTAATCCTGATTCTATAGACATATAATATTAGGATGGATTGAATAGGCGAGCAAGGCGTCGAAGGAATCTTGCGAGTAAAATAAACTCTATTAATCAACAAATCAGATAGATCAAGTAGTTAACTCAACCGAAAAACTAAACAAGGTAGACATTAGTTCCATAACCTTGGAATATCCTTATCTCATTGAATTTTCTCCTAAGTTATTCGTGTGCTCGACTTGCATCTTTGTCTCCTCGCTTAATTGTTAATTTTTGTAGCAGCCTTAGTTAAGTAAAATCACAATACTCATCTTCCCTAATGAATAATTTATAAATAGTTTAGTTTAATTAATAGTTAATCATTTGTCCTCGTGAGAACAATACTTTCTTATCACTTTATTACTTGTCGATCGCGTATACTTGCATGTGTTTGGCCCCAATAATTTTTGGCACCATTGTCCGGGACTTAGAATGTAGCTATATTAGTGAAATAAGTTGTTATTAGTTATTTGTTCAAGCTTTAATTTTCTCTTGTTGCCTCTGCATCTACAGGTGTTCCCTCGTGAATGCGGAGGAGCTGGAGTTTTAACTACATCCTCCATTTTGATCCGGAAATAGAATGTTCTCTTCCCAGGTTAAGGGGGAGGCCGAAGCTAGAGCTAAAATTGTAGAGTTGGGCATCGTAGTCCAACCACAGACAATAAAAATGGCAGAAAACGACGAGCGACCAGTGATAGAGAGTGCAAGGCCTAATCTTGCTAATATGACTCAGACTATCTTGAAGCCTAATATCACTAGTCACTTTGAGCTTAAACAGTGCATGGTGCAGTTAATTCAGTCCATAAGGCAATTTGTGGGTCTCTCTCATGAAGACCCACAGATACATATCCACAACTTTTTGAAAATTACAGATACTTATAATTATCTGAATATTTTCAAAGATTATGTCAGACTGACAATGTTTCTCTTTTCTCTACTGGAAAAGTAAAAGAATTATTGCAAAAGAAGCCTGCTAATTTGATCCACACTTGAGATGATTTAGCCCGAAAATTTTGAATCAACTTCTTCCCGACAAAGAAGATAAAGTCACCAAAAAGCCAAATTCTTGGGTTTCAACAATGGGATGATGAAGCTCTTCGCCAAACTTGGAAAAGATACAAGAAGTTATTTAGAGACCGCCCGTATCCACTATAAAAAAAGTCAAAATTGTGACTGACAATCCCGTTACAATCCAAGGTTTTTGCGATGAAATTGTGACAGAATCACAGTCGTCTCATAATCCTTGGTCGTAAATCATTTCTTGACGGAAATGCATTCTCACAAATTTTTGTGACAAAAATTATGGTGGATTATCCATTATTTAATTTTGCATCCACTATGCTTGATTCTGTCACAAACTTTGATAGATTTGTGGTGGCACTATCCATCACAATATTTTTGATCGATCTTTTCTTTTAGCAATTTTAGTTATCTTACCATAAAATTTGTGTTACAATACTTCATCACAAAAAATATTCTGTCACAAATTTTGTCACAGAATATTTTGCGTCATTCATTTAATGGTTAGTAAAATAATTGTGACAAACTAAATTTGTCACAAATTTAACTTTTAAACTTTTACGTTTAATAAATTATAATTATATTTAATTAGCTAAAAGCATAAAACAATTAACAAGGCAACCAAAATATAACAAACATAATGCTAAACCAAAAGTTTGATGTTAAAATATACAAACTTCACATATTCAGTTAACAAAATCTAATAATATTTAACACTTGACCAGTTGATAAAAGTCTTGCAATAATCAACAGTGAAACATCAACTAAGTAGGACCAACAGATGGGCTGGATGATCACGCCATCTCACTCATCATGCTCCTCCGTTGCTCCTCCATAGAACAAAATGAATCATTACTTTGTTGCCTCAAAAGCGCAGACTTCTGCTCGACGCGTTGCTGCACCTCTTGCTCGTCGCGTTGTTGCACCTCTTCCTCTAAATATTGTTGAAGAGTCCTCTCTTGAATTTCTCTCATACGCAGCACCTCCTCCTCAAGAACTTTAACGCGTTCTTTGGCAGCATCTTGTAACGCTTGTAAAGTGCATGAAAAGGCAGAGTTGGAGTCTGGATACGAAGTCAAAGATTGAGATCCTAAACCATACACATGTCGTTTCTTTTCTTCATCCACAACTTCAAAGTATAGGCGATTCACATCGACTTCGTGCGTATCATCTGATAGGTTCGAATTAGCAGTAGCCACCACAACCTCCATTTGTCCTTGCATATGTTTATTAGAATAAAAAATTAATCTAAATAAAGAATGTGAAAAATCCCCCCCTTCATCAAAACTGCCAAAATTTTGGCTAGAGAAAATATAATATATAGCAGAAACTATATGTCACGATCCAAAAGCCATCGTAGTCCGTGATGGTACCCAATGCTACCGTTAGTTAAGCCAACAACTAAATCAATATGTCATTAGTAAATCCAAAATGTATTTCAAAACAATTAGAGAAATAAGGAGTGAATATCGTTCGTTTTCAGAAAAAGTATAGATGTTATTATTTTAAATATTCGAATGCGGCTGAAATATAAACACGGAATCCTAACAGAATATAACCACAAAAAAAATCTAAATTTTCAAAATCCGATGTAACAAGTGCATCCCAAAATATACAATACTACTATAACAACAGTCAGAAATAGAAAATAGACAGAATGCAATAAATGGATAGGACGGGAACTCTATGTACTGCGGATCGTAATATGGAGAGCATCCCACCATAAATTCTCCTCAGCAACTGCGCCTACGTGCCCTGATGACCACAAAAAGTACCTATCTCTGTACCTACACAGTCAGTGCGGATGTATAGTATGAGTATGTAAATCAACACGTACCCATTCCCGAAAAAGTAGTGACGAGGGGTCGACACCAACGCTTACTAGTGGTCCAATAAATCAAGTATAATAAAAGTGAACAGAACATGTATGAGGCATGAAAAGTAAAACAGTAAAGACAGATATATGTACACAAAAACGATCCTCAACAGAAGAGTAAACTCAAAGTCCTTGAATACCGAATACTACTGTGAATGGAATGTATGTCAGGTAAATAACCACTAAAATATAATATCTCTAGTCGATAGATTCATAGATACGCTGACTCCTTATCGGATATTATGCATGATTCTCCCAAGGCGAATGGCCCGGCCCTATAAGAGCGATGACATGATATCTTGTCGTAGCTGACGACCCGATCCCATAAGAATAGTGTACTCTGCTGAAGATAATAACCCAATCCCATAAGAATATAAACCCTGCCAAGGCGAACGACCCGATCCCATAAGAATATGTACCCTGCCGAGGCAAATGGCTCGTTCCCATAAGAATATTTACTCGGTCGGGGCGAACGACCTGATCCCATATGAATGTGTTACATGATACTACCGAGGCGAATGACCCGATCCCATAAGAGTATATTACATAATATCGCCGAGGCAAACAACCCGATCCCATAAGATTACTGCTAAGACATTCAACTCGATCCCATTAGAATATTAAACTTTGATAGGTCACTATCCTCACTCACTAATATACGTGTGAGTTATAAAATTCAAGAAAACTTTTGAACAAATACGCACAATGCGGACGAAATCCGTAAAGGGGAGTAAAATTTTCACGGCTAATCATGTAGCTCGTCAAACATCTAAAATAGCAAGTCCGATACTCTATACAAGTCCAGTCACATGCAAAAATATAAATTAAAGCATTTAAACAGGCAAGAATAACTCAACTAGTACAATTAAAGCATGACATGAGTCTAACTCTACCTAAACATAATAAGGAATTCTAGCATGCGCACGGATACTCGTCACCTCATACATGCGTATCTCCCATCACGTATAGCACATAACAAATATAGCACCTACGCAGTAAATTCGCCTCACAAGGTGAGCCATGAGACTTACCTTGCTCCGAAATTTGATAACTGGCTCCAACGCCTCTCTAGCACCTCAAATTAAGGCCAAACGATCTGCAACTAGTCAAATAACGTGCAAATCAATCAAAATATACTCAAAACTCAAAATTTCATTAATTAAAAATAATTCCCCAAATCAAAACTAGACCATCCTTGTTTTACTTAAAACTAAAAATTTCATCACTTTGTGCTTATTTTGTGAGTTTTATTTCTCCTCTGTGAGATGGCTTCATACTATTGCGCTCTGTGGTAGTATCTATCGAGCTTATGGGATGGTTCTCTTAATTGGTCCTTCTTCCATCATTGGTTACATTTGAGTTATTGCTTGTTTGATGCACGAATTGCGTCGTATGTGGCACTAGGGGCATTTGGTATAGCCTGTCGGTCGAGCATATTGTACTAGGTGAGATGAGGTTATTAGACCTAGAAATAGTGCACTCATATTTGGATAAGGTACACTTGGATAGGAATGTCATTAGTCAGCTTAGAATTTGGCAATAGTTCTTGTCGGGCAAGAGAGCTCCACGACTTGTTGATCTGATGAGTGGTTATGACCTTCTATGTGTTTCTTCATATTTTGTTGTGTACGAAGGTTTGAAATAAGGTTCTATTCGATATGAGGTTTATTACCGGCATCAGATTTAGTAATGAGCAGCTATTGTGGTAGGAAGATATTACTATGAGTACATGAGTTATGTGGTATATCGTGTGATTATATCTTGGAATATGGTTATGACTTGATGAATCTTGTTTAGATTTATACAGTGTATATATGTGAGAATCGGATTTTATAAGGAATTTCGGATGTTAGAAATTGGGTTCTAAGGTTTATGGATTAAAGTTGAAGAAAGAATCTTTAGCTAGGTTGTGTTAACTGGTTTATATGGATTGAGGTGATGGGGGATCACCCATAAGTATGTGTAAGGTGAGTTTATAAAGTGATTTGATGGCTTTGGAACGACTCTTGGCACGTTCGAGGACGAACGTATGTTTAAGTGGGGGAGAATGTAACGACACGACCGATTGTTTTGAGCGTTAGCATTTCATTGGGTTATTTGAGGTCTTGAGTAGCTTCATATGATGTATTGCAAATTGCGTGCATGGTTGGTTTGGTTCCAAGAAAATTTCGGAGTGATTTGGAACACTTAGTTCTTAACTTGGAAGCTTAAGTTGGAAGTGTTGACTAAGTTTAATTTTTGTGTATTTGACCTTGAATCAAAGTTTTGTAGGCTCCGTTAGGTACGGATTGTAATTTGATCTCGGACATATGCCCAAATATGAGTTCCAGACGTTCCTAAATGATTTTAAGGTTAATTGTCAAAAGTTGGAAATTTTAAGGTTTGGAGAGTTGATAGGTTTTACTCATAGGTGACTTTGTGGTTATTGATGTATGTTTGGGATTCTGAGGTTTGAAATAAGTTTGTATGGTAATTTATGACTTGTGTGCAAAATTTGGAGTCATTCCGAGTTGTTTAGACGTATTTGATGTATGTTTAGAATTTGAAATTTTAAATAGTTAATTAAGCTTGAATTGAGGTAAGATTCATGGTTTTGATATTATTTTGTGGGATATGAGGCCTCGAGTAGGCCTATATTATATTTTTGGCCTTCTTGGTATGTTCGGATGGGGTCTCGTGTGGCTCGGGTGTGTTTCGGGGTAGTTTTGGACAATTTCCCCCTTATTGTTAATTGTTGGTTTCTCCGATTTTCTGGTGATGAGAGTCTTCTTCATATTCGCATGAGGAGGACAACAATCGCGACACTGGAATCGCGTTCCCGGTTGTTAAGGCTTTAAGCCTTCGCATTCACGTAGTGTTGAGTTAGGCTATGAATAGTCATTTGGTTGACCTTCTCATTTGCGAGAAGACTCCGCGTTCACGTAGGTTTGGTTGATGTTTTATGCTTCGCGATCGCGAAGTTGGTCCCACAATCGCTAAGGGTTTACTCGGAGCAGTAGTATAAGGTCCTATTTTCGAACTTGGAACTCATTTTA